TTTATTCCTTCTTTGAAATGAACTTATTTTTTTATTAAAGTTTCTTTTCTCCTATTAAGTTAGTATACACAAAAAAAAAAAAAAAAAAAACACACAACACACAACACACACACACTCTCTTAAATGTATTGAATAATTGATGACACATTCATCCAATAAAAATATTACTTGCTACCCCATCACCATGAAGTCTATCCCAGCCACCAGAAAGTATTAAGAAAGTATTTAAAGATGGGGATAACAATTACATGTTTATACAATCAATGATCTTGGAAATAGCCAGAAGCATGCTTAAAAGTACACTATTAACATGTGGGGAAACAAATGCTCATTGAAACCATGCATACACACCCATACAAGGGTGTGTCTATCTGGCTTAATGATTATATAAGCAAAAAAAGGTAAAGAGTAAAATAAAAACGATTCTTGTCTGCCATTTTTTATGAAATATATCTATGTAAACAATTTAATGGAAAGGTAAATATATAACAATTTTGAAAACCTTTTATGCTGACATGTTTTTCTAATGCATATATAAATAAAATGCAAAATCAGTTGTTCTGATGACATATGACTAGTGAGATATGTCAATAGAAAAGTTTTTCCAAATTTCATGCAGACATACAGATGTGCATATATAACAAATCAAAGTATTGCTAAATCAAAACTAATAAGTCAAAAAGCAATAGAAAAACTATATATATATATATATATATATATATATATATATATATATATATATATGCATGCATGTGGCTGAGTTGTTTGAATGTTCAAATCTCACCATGGTCAATTTGTCAGGAAAGAAACTTCTTGATGTTAGACTTGAGGGGTCAATTCTAGCATGCAGCACCTTTGGAAAGTGCCTGAAAACTAAACTATGGGTTAACCCAAGCCTTGTGAGTGAAATCTGATAGACGGAACACTTGGGTGCCATTGATAACTGTGCAAGCACAAAATCACAAGTCATCATGGTCGAGGGCTTGAGCATGCTGGCCTTGTTCAAATTGTTGATCATGTTAAATAACACACTCTCTCTCCACTGTAACTAAGGTCTGCTCAGCATAGTTGCAGTATAAACCACAGCTGGAGTCTGTGGGTGTTGAATAAACAAATGCGCCTGAGCAAGCATCTGCAAATGGGATTGCCTAGCTGACCTGGGTATCCTCAATACGAGTGGCCAGTTATGATATATAACTATATATATATATATATATATATACACACACACACACCAAAGTATATGATTGGTGTATACAGAATAAATTCCAATAACCAAAAATTACTATTCTTAAAAGAGTGCTCAATACAGAGTAGAGCAGATATAATTATTTATTTAAAAATTGTAATAAATAAAGTTAAAAATCACTACAACAATATTTTTGTTTCAACATTCTTCAAGAGTCTTATCATGATGATGTTAAATGTAAAACATTACATTTAACATCATCACTTGATAAGACGGAGGTATTGAAACAAAATGGCTATTTTTGTAGTGATTTTATAACATATTATGTTATAATTTTTAAATAAATAAATATATATATATATATATATATATATATATATATATATATATAATATAATATAAAATAAATAAAGGTATATTTAAGCAGCAAGTATTCATCTAAACAAATTTGATTAAAAAGAAATGACAAAATCTGTCTGTAGAATATTTTTTTTTTTTTTTTTTATAAATTATATTTTTCCAATTTTTGGATAAAGTGTTCTTGAAATTGTTGATAAACTCCCCAAAGTTCACATTTCGTTATTTTTGTTCAACTACTTTTGACTTTTACGGTCATTATCAAGACCCAATATGGTGGTGTCTGCATGGTAGGTAGAATTCCTTTGTCTCCATCCTTGATGTACCTTATTAGTTCTTGATAATGACTGCAATAGTCAAAAGCACATGGACAAAAATAACAAAATATGAACTTTAGACAGTTTATCCACAACTTCCAGCACAATAATCAACACCTTGTCCAAAAAAGTGGAGAAATATAATAAAAATTTAAAAACAGACAGACCTTGTCAGTTCTTTTTTTAATCAAACTTGATTGATATATATATATATATATATATATATATATATATATATATATATATATATATTTTTTCATTCTAAAGAATTAATGGATTTTATTTTTAATATGCTATATTTTCATAACTTCAAACATTATTTTTAGTTATTCCTGTATTTGAGTAGAAGCTCCGTTTTTTTTTTTTTTTTTTTTTAAACAAAGTTTATTTCATTTACCGACTTACAGGCACAAGAAAATTTAAGAAAATGTACCCTCCAGCAGGACTTGAACTTGCACCACCTTTTGCAGGAGAAACCACCGACTGATCCAGCATGTTTTTACTGCTGGGCTGCAGAGAAGTTCACAGTTAAGGCAAATAGAACCTTTTTTTGACTGAAGCTCTCCATAGCTGAGCAGTAAAAACATCCTGGATCAGTTTCTCCTGCAAAAGGAGACACAGATTTGAATCCTGCAAAAGGAGACACAGATTTGAATCCTGCAAAAGGAGACACAGATTTGAATCCTGCAAAAGGAGACACAGATTTGAATCCTGCAAAAGGAGACACAGATTTGAATCCTGCAAAAGGAGACACAGATTTGAATCCTGCAAAAGGAGACACAGATTTGAATCCTGCAAAAGGAGACACAGATTTGAATCCTGCAAAAGGAGACACAGATTTGAATCCTTTGCAAAAGGAGACACAGATTTGAATCCTGCAAAAGGAGACACAGATTTGAATCCTGCAAAAGGAGACACAGATTTGAATCCTGCAAAAGGAGACACAGATTTGAATCCTGCAAAAGGAGACACAGATTTGAATCCTGCAAAAGGAGACACATTTTCTCAAGTGTGCAGGCTGCTAGATAAAATAAACAGTTTAAAAAATGGAGTCTACTCAAATATGTGTATCAAATAAAAATGTTTGAATCAATATCTCAAATGCACTTTTTTGTGCATGTAAAAGCTTTCCATTCCCCAACCCTGAGTGCACAGATACTACACTCTGATACTAAACAGAAATCTCAATCCATACATAAATAATTCCATTTCAACATGTCCTATTCTTTTCTAATATCCAATATAGATAAAATCTTTTTTTTTGTCAATTTCAAAACAACAAAGAACAAAATGTGAACTGAAAAGTTCATAGGCTGACTATGAAGGAGTGGTGCTAGAACTGTGAAACTTTGTACGCATTCATTTCAACTCTTATTAATAACTGCATTGTTTCTTTCCCAGTAAATTGACATCTGACTGTTCAAAGAAGACTTTGAAAGTAAGTTGTACTGGCTTCCTTTGAAAATGGTCAAAATTTGGTATTGTGAGGTTATGTACATGCTGAAAAAATAGTTTATCCCCCCAAGGACATTTGTTCTGACATGGTTGCTACATTAGGGGATAGCACCCCAGCTTCATCAACAGTGAAAAAGTGGACAGCTGAATTTAGGAGGAGAAGGGAGAGATGAAGATGACAAGTTCTGGACATTCTGCAACTGTTATCATCGGGGTGTTTTTTTTATTTCAAAACAAATATTGTAATGTTCACCATTTTCAAAGACAAAATTGCTGTGTTCAACTGAAAGTTAAATTTTTAACTTGTGAAGTGAAGAACACTGAGTGAGTATGTAATCACGCGACTACTGCACCAGGAGAGGTAACTAAGTATGGCATGTCGAGAGTTTTAAGAAATAAGTATTAAAACTAGTAGTGCAAACATTGCTATTTTAAACTATTGTACACATTTTTAAACATTTGAGCAGTATTCATAATTAATTTTATTAAAGTTTAGTTTCAAATTTTTAATACAGATAGTTTCAAGAAATTTTAATTTATGTTTAATATTTTCATGATGAATTTTTCTGAATTGAAGTTGTATATGATTACAATTATGCAATGGATGGAGTTGACAAAGTGGACCAACAACTTGTCGATTATCCAATTCCAAGGAAATGGGTTAAAAAATATTACAAGAAAGCCTTCTTCAATCTGATGGAAACTGCAATATGGAATGCTTACATCCTGTATAATGAAGCAGTCAATTAGGCAGGACAAAAATCCCTCTCACACCTGAAATTCAGTATGCAAATTATACAACATATAATTGCAAATTATGGCTCAGATTTACCACCAAAAAGATCTGCAGGTAGACCCTCGACCTCACCAGGAAGTTTACGGTATACAGGAGGACACTTCTGATGGGAGTCCAAGCAACAGAAAAAGACACAAATCCACCAAGAAAATGTGTTTTGTGCAGTCGAAAACGTGACCATAGAGAGAAACCAGTCAGGAATGATTCATGATATATGTGTAAACTGTGCCAAGTACCATTATGTGTAGCGCCATGCTTTGAAAAATATCATACAAAATAATTTCAATCATAAAATGGCAGACAAAATAATTCTATTCATTTATAAAGGTAATTTGTGCTATTTTTTTTTGCTAAGAAAATAATTCCAAATAATTCATAAGATGCCAGGAAAAGTCATTTCATTCACAAATAATTGCAAATTATTTTAATTTCTAATTGGTTTTTGCTTGTAAATTTAATAAAAAATAACAGGTTTTCCAATTCCCTTTATTTTTGGTAATAAAATTATAGGAGGAGAATAAAAAAAATATATAGTAAAGAATACGATTTATGAGGAGACATGTTTACATGTGTTTGTCAAAAAAGGTATTTTCAAAATATAATTTCAACCATAAAAAAAATGGAAAAAAATTGAAATGCAAGTTATTTTTCATAATCAATATTAAAAACAAATAAAAAAATTTATCTGAAAATGAAACGTTTTCCCCCAAAAAAATAATTGGCAAAGAAGGAGTTAACCCATAGCTGGGGGGACAAGAGGTGGATTCATACCTTTCTCAAGAGTATTTGTATGTAAGTGAATATAACAAACTCAATGGAAATTTGAACTCAGCTCTCCAATTAACAATTTCAAGCCATCATCCTTTACCTCACCTGCACATCCAAGCTTACAGCACCTGGTATTCCCAAGCAGTCATCCATCTAGATACTAACCAGGTTCAATGTTGCTTAACTTTGGTGATCATACAGGAACCAGTGTTCTAACATGATGTTGCTGTAAGCTTAATTTTACAATGTGCGTGTGCTTCACAAGGTTTGTTTAATAGACAAGGTTGTCACAAACACCAGAAATTGTGGTTCAAATTAAAGTAAAATCCAGGATTTTATATGCTGATTTTCAAGGCAATTAGAATCTCTGTATTTAAAAGATTAGAGCAATGCATCTTTCTAACATTGACTCTTTTAGCGCTGTAACAAAATCCTAAATTTTCTGTATATGATCACATATAGAGGACAGACGGGCATGTACAAACAAATTGTGGGAGGTAACGCAACAACTCAACTGATGATAGCAGGTAGGAACAAAGAAACCGGTGTCGCACGTCCAACCTTCTCATGAGCCGAAAGCTCTCTGATCCCAAACAGCAAAACGAGCCTGCTTTATACAGCCGAGGACCGACCACGATTTGCATGCGAATGACGAGACAACGAGATTTCATGTTAACTAACCGAGACCGCCCGGCATAAAATATGGGCACCGCCATTTTGGTTCCTTTTACCATTGGGAGGACCGGAGTTTGCACACTGCACAGATGCGCACACGTTTCCGAGGTAAGCCATTTTCACAATTTTCCCCACACAAATATTATCTAAATTCAAGTAATTCTGGTATGAATTGAATATTAAAAAAAGTGGGGAGGTTCATTAAAAAAACTGTAATGCATTTAAGTAAGAAATTTCAGATATTAAATTAAAAACATATTTAAAATTTTCATTCGCCTCTCTCTCTCTCTCTTTTGTATAAACCGGAAGTACACTCCCTCAGACATTCTGACCAATACGTATGGGTCTTCCATTGCAGGACACCTTATAAATAGCCATAATTTTGCTGTTAGTTTTAGTGCGGACACTTTTACCATCCTTAGAAAGCCCCACTCAAATTACCACCTAAAAGTGTTGGAGGCCATCTATATTCTATCTTTAAAGCCTCCTCTTTGTAAACAGAAGGACTTTATATTAGGCCTCCAACTAATTACCATTTAATCCCCCCCACCAATAAACTTTGTCCATTGTTCTTTTACTTATATATATATATATATATATATATATATATATATATATATATATTCACACAAACAATATAAAAATAATATTTTAAAAAATTAATAACATTTTTTTAAGGCAAAATTTTTCAAAGAATTTAAATCTGTCGAGTAAATTTGCTATTTACTTATAATTTTTTACCTATTAAAATAGTTATTGCTTAGTTAGTCTTTAAAAGGCTCTCTAAAAAAGCATAAGGTTATTTTGACTGCAGATTTTTTCTTCTTTCTTCTAACCAACACCCCTCTGCACAGGCCTAAAAGGATCCAACTACCCTGCTATTTACCAAAAGGGATAGGTGGATTCATGCCTTTTCCAACTGCATTAGTGGTAAGTAAATGTAAGCAGTCCTGACTGGAACACAAATCTGGTTTACCAATTCATTTCTTCATGACAATAGCTGCTACTTCACACCAGACTTTACCAAATAATTATATATATTTTTTTTTAAATAAATTCAAAAGTTCAGCTGGTAAGTGTAAATGAATTAGTATTGAAGTGAATGAAGAGGAAAAGATAAGAGTGGTATAAACCGCTCACACAAAGATAGGACTTTAAACAGGTCAGTTCGGCACTAAGCATTGCTTTCCAATTAATTTTGCTGCAGTCACTTTCTCACCATCAAAATGTGGCTTCCCTCTGTCTTTTCTACAAATATTTTTGTGGCAATTGTTCTGGTGAGTTTTCCTTCCCTGATGCTTCAACTGCATGAATTTAAGCGTGATACGAGATTGACAACCAGGCCTCGTAGTTTTGCTGTTGAACAAGCTAAATGCAACTATGTTCTATTCTAATAGTTTCTTTTCTCACACTTCTTGCTTGTAGAACTCCCTTTCAATTTATTGTTCATTGCCACATAATCTCCAAAAGTTTAAATGCAACACCAATTGCCATTTTTTACCTTCTTGAACCCCATTCTTTTATTGTCTTTCTCCTCCTTTTCCTTCTCTTTCATTCCCAGTAACTCCTTGCATCCTAGTGGCATTATAACATATATTGGAACATCAGTTCCCATAAGAGCACCAAAGTTAAGCAATATAGAGCCTTGTCAGTACCTAGATGAGTGGCCACTTGGGAATACCAGGTGCTGTAAGCTTGAAGGTGTAGGTAGTATAATTGATAATGGCTCAGAATTGTGAAAGAGCCAAGTTCCAATTCCCATTGGGTTTGTTATATTTACTCCCACACAAATATTCTTATACTCAGAATTGCTCGGAGAGCTGAGTTACAATGCCAATTGTGTTCTTTATATTCAGTTACATGCAAAGATCGTTGAGAAAGGTATGAATCTACCTCTTCCCCCCTGCTATGGGTTGATTAGTAAAACTTTTATCACTAAATCATTATTATCTCAAAAACAGGAAAAACAAATATTTTCTGGCTTTAAATAACCTACAAAGTGTTGATAAGCTGTAGAAAATGAATCCATCAATAGTGACATTATTGCCTTGCATGGGGGGGGGGATATGATTAAAAAAATTAAATAAAATGATTATGTGAACATTATTCGAAAACAATTTTTCAAATTATAAATTGTTTGAATGAAAATTAATTGAAAGGACAATTATACTAAATAATTATTTGAAATCCAAAATTCTTTATTGCAATAAAAACGTGAAAATTAAAAGGGGGAATACATAAATGATAATTATTCAAAACAAATATCATTAATAAAACAGTTTAATAAGAAAAAGTTCTTATCACCTTAAGTTATATGATGCTGCACCCAAATAGTCAACTACTGAAGAGTAGTCATTAAAGGAGGCCACTAATTTTTATAGTTTTCCATTTACGTTGCGGTATTTCTTGGCGCTCTTGATATTTTGGCAACTTGCTCTTACTTTTGCAATATGAATTTCTTGCATGTCCTGTTCTCTTTTAAGAGCATGTCAGAATTTCCATATTGTGGGATGATGGGATGACATTTGCTGCAAGAAAGCCCTATGCCATCGTTCAAGGGCATTATTAGCTCTAGGTAAATCAGCATTCTACAATCTAAAAAGCAAAACCACATACGTATTTCAAACGTAGGCATTTTGAATAATTATCATTTAGTATAATAGTCCTTTTGATTAATTCATTCAAACAATTTACAAGTCAAGTAAATGGTTTTCAAATAATTGTTTTGGAACAATTATTTCTGAACAAGTGTCTCAATAGGAGACAAAATTCAACAGAAGATACACCGCCACCCCTCAAAAAAAGCAGAAAAGAAATAAACAAAATCAACAGAAAATGTAAAAAATAATGTTACCTTTTAGTTGTTTTTTTTTTGTATTTTCTTTTGATTTTGTTTATTTTTTTCTGTTTTTTTGGTGGGAGGGAGGGTACACAAAAATACTGAGGTTAAGAATAGAGGATATATGCCTTGAAAAGTAGTGATTTGCATCACAGGGCATAAGATTTTACAAGAATAACTATTGTCTGTATAGAGTGCACAAAACTTGCTCAAAGTCTAAATGTCTGTATTGATACAAACCAAAAGTCGTCTGATAGAAGATAATTCTTCTTTATCAAATGAGTAAAAAAATCTCTGCCCTAGATTAATGGATTATATATCGTCAAGCAGCATGTATTTATTTACATATCAATAATGATAAACTATATAGAAGAGATTAATTTTTAGCAAGGTGTAAAGATCTTGACCTGCTATACAGACAAACCAAAATGGAGAGGAAAAAAAAAAAAAAAACAAAACCTTCCCTTAAATTTATCAGCTCTATAAATTATAAGTATGGTTCTAAAAGAGTTTAAGTTAATATAAATTCTGAAATTTTATTTGTTTTTTTGTTTTTTTCCTTCAATAGGAGTAGATTAGGTTCACCTATCATCCAGCACGCACTTTTCACTCCTCTTTGAACAGGAGTAGAGGTTTATCCTTTGTTTCCAGTTTAGGATTGTGTTTCTGGTTTTGTCTAAAGTCTTCTCATTCTCTTTCACTCCCAGTAGCCCCTTATACCTTAGTAACATTACTGTCTTGCCTCGGGTGAATTGATAAAATATAAAAAAAGAAAAAGAAACAAATTGCAGGTTATTATGTAAAGAGCTAAGAAAGTCCTAGCCGAATTTTTTATATTTATTTTCATTTTTTTTTTAATTTTTTATTTATCCCTTCAGTAGTAGATAGATCCACTTATCTGGTTTACACTCCTCCCCACTCTTTTGAACAGGAGTAGAGGTTTATCCCGTTTCTTGTTTAGGATTTGTTTTCCAGTTTTCTTATTTACCTTTATTCCCAATAGTCACTTGTGTCTTAGTGGCATTATTGTATTGCTTGGGGTGAACTGATAAAACTGATACTGATTAAAAAAAAAAAACAAACCCTTTTCCCAATTTTTTAAATGAGCAAACAGATCTGTATACAAACTATAGTACTTTACATGTAGTTAGTTAAAAAAATATCATTATGCAAGGACAATAGCCTTTATAAAAAAATTTTCATTTCAAAAATAAAAAAAAATAAAACAATAAAAAAAATGGGCTTATCCATTTAGCATGACATTGATGAAATAAGGGTAAATATCTCGATAAAGAGTAGTTGTTAGATCATTTGCGTTACTGCTTTAAAAAGGTACACCAAACAAAAAAAATTTCATGAATTTATTTCTATATTGTAATAATATATTGCAGATGGTTTCATTTGGTTTATTTTGTTTTACGGCATATCAACCTCAATGGGTTATTTAATGCCAACAAAATTTTTTATTGCTGGTAATATTTTGTTTTGTCAAAAATCTGTTTCTGATAATATTTTTCCTTCCAAATTGTATTGCCAGTGATAATTTTTTTTCCAAAAAAAAGTATAGCCGGTAATAACTATTTGCCCATAGCTGGGACCCTAACAGGTGCTACCACCCCCAGGTCAGGGTGAACCTGGGAACACCAGCAATTAAGAGGTGGTTCCACACTCCTCAAAACCTCCTGATCAGAGGCCTTGCTGCTGGACGTAGTTTATCGTCTTACCCAGGACAGTATATTGCAGATGGTGTATTGTAACTATTTACATCATTCAGACTGTTGTCCTCATCTTTATTGCCATATTCACGTTTCGGACATTGCACAATCCAGCTTTCTTCAGGTGATATACATTGGAATTTTGAATCAAACCCTTAATTTAGTCCACAAAACAAGCTGTTTATTTAGTAGAACAATCTATCCCTATGAATTAAAAGGGCTTGCTTTGAAATTCCAACGTGTATCACCTGATGAAGGCCAGTGTGTACAATGACCAAAATGTCATGAATATGGCAATAAATATGAAGACAACAGTCTGAACGATGTAAATAGTGTAAAATCTTTAAATATACATATTATCAATTATCCAATTATCATTTTAGCACTGCTGTCATGAAGACAGTCATTTCATTTCCTGGCGACATGAACATTTTCAAATATTCTACATTGGCATAATAGACACTGCACTCGACATTGCATATATAAAGAGGATTCTAAAAAAAATGTCAGTTTTTAGAGTTATCTCCTTTTAAGAAAAAAGTGTTTTGGGAGGAGAGGGTATGGACAAAAATTACAGATAAGCATGCCCCCCCCCATACAACACACACACACACATTTTATATATATATTATATATATATATTTATTAAAACAGATCGGCCACAAAGGATCGGTAAGGCACGTCAGCGTAAATGATGGTTCTGTATAGGATGCAGGTTCGAATCCTGTCAAAGGATGAATATTTTCTATGAAAATTTCTCGGACATTCAGGCCGGTAAATGTTATTTAATACTGTTTATTATAAACAGAGCATTTACTTAAATACTTGTATCTATAAAAAGAACGTTAAACATAAAATGTCTTTAATAAATAAGTTGTCGGACTTTGTCCATTTTATATATATATATATATATATATATATATATATATATATATATATATATATATATATATATATATATATATATATATATTTCAGATGGAGTATATCTATAGAAGAGACAAAATGAATAAAAAAAAGAGGGAAAACTATCAACAATTCCCTACTAATATATCCACAAAACACTATTTTAACAGATTTTGTCAACAAACTTAACGTTGAGCCTACAATAGACTTCACCTTTGAACCTGAAACCAACAACACTCTTCCCTTCCTAGATATCATGTTACACAGAAGCAATAGTGAACTCAATTTTCACATTTACAGAAAAGCTACCAACAAAAATGTTCTGTTCAACTTCTACTCAAACCACTCTTGTAAAATTAAATCGAGTATAAATATAGATTTCTACTTAAGAGCATTAAGATTTTGCAGCCCCCAACATCTACCCAAACAACACACATGGAAAACACATTCAAAAACCTCTAATAACCCTATCACTTCATCCACAAATAAAGAGGCATAAAAAAATATATGACTGCAACAAAAATAACAATGTTATCCACAATGATAAATTAAACAGATACACAATACTACCTACCAATTCTATAACATCCACTTCCCATCCCATCTAAACAACATCCAAATAGTCACAACTACTTCCAAAGCCATCATGGATATAATCAGATCTAAAAATACCCATAACAATAATAATTCAGAAACAGGCATATATGAAATAAATAGCCTAGACTATTCTTCACAATACATTGGAGAAACATGCAGAAATTTATATAAAAAAAAAAAAAAAAAAAACATGTCTATGAGCAAAAAAAAAAAAAAAAAAAAAAAAGACTTTATAAATAACAATTTACAAATGCACTAGTCATACACGGAAATAAATTTAACCACAATTTTAATTTTAAAAAATGCCACACCCATCAAAAATGGGAGTAACTTACTCGGAAGGAAAATCCTCAAGAGTGCTGCCATCAAATATTATCAAAATATCAATTTACACCCCATTTTTTTTTCCAATCTCACCTTTCCTAAAGTCATTACTCCTTTCCCAAGCCAGCATACACATACACTGTGATACAGTGAAACAGTCTATCTGTCAATGACTATATATACAGGCAGTACCTCTCTTTCAGGAGGGGCTGTGGTCATTGTGCCACGCCTGAAGTGTCCCCAAAGTGTCAAGTGGCTTGAGCAATTTTTACAGTGTTGCAGTTAAACTCACTTGAAACTGACCTTGTGTCAC